AGATTCATCCCACATCCTGGCGTAAAACCATGACTTGGCATTGACGGGTCTATAATCTGCACAGATTACTGCACATCAACCTACACTTTATTGCCAATGGATTCAAGATATATTAAACTTTATTACAACTTATTTAAGGTCAAATCTATTATAACAATATGATAGTTTTGAATGCGATTGTGCTGATATTTATAACGGTTAAAAGGCGGTTATCATGTTACCCTTATCTAACTGAATAACATAAACAGATTATTGTTTTGAAAGAGAGAGACGGACAAGAGGAGTCTTACAGTTATGTAGAACGTTATTGAAAACAACGATTTAATTGACTGAGAAAAGCTCTCATTTCAGCTCTTCAATAAGAGTCCCGTTGTGACTTGAAACTAGTAGAGCTTTTCTTCACAGTTAATTCATGTAAGTCTAAGGTTTAGTATGTCTCACGATAGTTACTATTTAAAAAAAAAGAATAACATACTATTTACTAAATGCACTATCAGAACTAGTGCGACACTCACTAGCAACTGTGAACATCCTGATACAGTTAAAAATGGAACCACAAATTTTACCGAGGGTTTATGAGAGCCAGTTAAAGGACTACAATAGAGACCCACCAGACAGCAACGTTATCTGAAAAATCTTGAAACTGTGACCTTCGACCTACCTGCCAAACCCTCGTACATAATATAGAAGTGTTCGAAAATGGAATATCATTAGTTGATATTTTGTTATTAGGTAGGTAGGTAGGATATCGCGGTTGAAAACGGCACGCATTGGTGATCAACCGTAACGTTTTCCGATTTTAATTGACATTTAAACAAGAATTAACTCGATGGTAACTGGTTCTCACAAAAAAGAATCTACTTATAGAATTTATATTAGCATTAGCAGCTTCCCATACAATCAAACAAGTTATTAAAATGTAAAATAAAAATATTCGCCAAGTAAGTACGTTGATAGATAGTCATGTCGTGTTTTCGCGACAGCATTATCGTATGCATCATGTTCGTAACCCTGTTTTAAATTGTCGAAAAGTTTGTCTTTGTGGGCCACATCTCAAAACCTCCTTGAATTCTGGACGGAATTTCCTCTGTTACATAAAAATATTTAGTACTTATGTACGTAACATGACGACTTTTCTTAGACGAAAATCATCATATGACATCCCTCCTCATTTTTTTTTTGTGAGGAGAAAATTATTAAATGGCTTCTCCCGCTCAGGCTCTTACTGACTTAAATCCCCTCGTTCCTTCTCCTGCTCTGGGCCGAGGCCGCGGTGACTCATTGCGCTTACCCCACAACCCCGGCTTTTTCTCGTCCTGTGCGGGAGGAGGGAGTCTCAGACTCTTACTGATTAAAAACCACCCCCATTCCTTCTCCTGGTCCAGGCCGAGGTTGCGGTACCTTATTGCGCTTGCCCTGCATCCCTGGCTACTTCGTGGGGTTGATTTTAAACAATATACCAAAATTTTAAGGAGCAGCAAGTAAACAATGTAAAAAGCTACCAAATTTCTTATGATTAACCTATACATAACAAAATGGCAGATATTGTTGTGTTATAAAGTTATTTTTCACAACACAGTTTCATGTTTACCAAATCGGTATCTACTAAGGATTCTTTGATTATTCTAGGCACAATAGCAACTGAATAAACAGCGACAATTCACCGCAGTCGGGTTCTTTATCAACCAAAATTTTCTCGCCCTTAATTTCTACCTTTCACCGTCATTAAAAACACAATGACAGCGTCACGTCAACATTTTCTACAAATACTTATTACACAAATAATTAATAGCCCGACACTTCATAACAATCAGGCTGATAAATGGCTCTGATGACCCAATTTTGGACGGATATCAAAATACTACTCATCTAAGTACCTATAGTAGAGACGAAATTGATTCTGTTAAAACCTCTTCTAGTTATTGGTTGGATTAAATCGCATCTATCATGTTTAGTTTTCACAAAATTTAATTTTTATTTTTAATAGATTTTGGGGCGAGGGAGGGGGCATCATCGTATGACTTCCTCCAAATGTGTGAATCCAAACTATATATAGGATTAATAGGTATAATATTATAAATGCGAAAGTAACTCTGTCAGTCTCTCTGTCTTTTTTTCACGCCTAAACTACTGAACCGATTTCTGATTAACAAGAGAAATTGGATAGTTTTTATACCAAAAATCTGCAAGAAGTCACTATTCCATGTGAACAGAGTGGCGGGCAAATGTTAGTAGTTCTAAAGCCGGGTTGGGGGAACAAGCGCAGTAATATACCGCGGCATCGCCATGAAGGAGAAGGAATGATGTGGTTTTTAATCAGTAGATAAGAGAGAGAAATCATGATGATGTTCTCTTCTTAAAAGAAAGTCATCAAGGTACGCACCTATTAAATATTATGTAATCAACAGAGTAAGTCCGTTAAGAATTCAAGGAGGTTTTGAGATATGGCCCACATAGACAGACTTTTCGTCAACTTATAACAGGGGTACGAACGTGGTGCATACGATTATGCTGTTGCGTCAACACGACATGAATTTAAATTTTATTGAACATGCTTAAAACATAAGAACTTGGGACAATGTTTTGTTTGATTAATTTCAAGTATCATGGTGAAAAATACTAGTTTCATAAATAAATAACGAGTAAAACAAACGACAAAAAACATAAGCTCTTGAGACAAATTTTTATTTTTCGACAGTCCATGCAATTTTATCGGAAAGAAAACAATTTGGAAGTTTTTTTTTTAAATCACAACTGAGTTAGTCCTATTAGCTAACTTACTTTTCGTGTAGATAACGTTTTGATGCAACTAGCGCCATCTATTTCAACGTCTTCGCTTTACGGGTCGCAAGTCGCAACGCGCGCGACGTAGCAAAAGACAAAATTGTTTTAATAATACGTTTAGTTTGATCCAGAGGGCGTAAGAAATAAATATGATAAATATTAGTGTGAATCACCACAATTTTTAATTTACAAATTTTCCACCTTCGTGATTAAAAGTAAATGCTAGGTTACTCCTTAATCATTATTTGTTGCGTAGCGGATGGCCCGGTTGAGAACAAGATCGAAAGAGGAAACATAATCGGAAACGGTTCCCACAGGGCGGGGGTAGTCATTGGAAGATTTTACAACCATAAATCCTTAACAGCTATCTCTAAAGCGTAATCTTTTGCCAAACCTCTTATTACAGGCCCATTCATAGTCCCACAATAATTTATGGACAAGTTTTTTTTTATGAGTGTAAAATCATCAGATGAGTTCGCGAGAGTGTCACACTCTTGCTGACTTAACCCCCCTACCGCCTTGTTACTTCTGCTTTGACGCCTTTTTGGAGGGCGTGGTGCCTTCTTGCGCTTGCCCTGCAACCCAGGCTGAAAATCAGACCTATAGAGCCTCGTCTGTGGTGGTCTACTTATTGGCTCTTTCAGGCACGGGCGGAACGCTACCCGCCGTACGCTCGAGTCTGGTTCTGGTGATGCGACGAGATGCCGTCCGCATTCTTGCGAAATATGCACAAGATGATAATTGTCGGCGACAAGCTACCCTTGATCGTTTTATCTAAGTATAGTTTTTTGATACGACATAAAAATACGAGTCTAATATTTATCTGTTACCATATAAATATAATAGGTAGGTAAGAAAAGTAAAATAGCATATTGTATTTTTCCAACTTTATTTATAAATACAAAGTGAAATAAATTAAATCTAATCTTAAACTAGTCCTTAAAGGACACCATTTGTTAGAACATTAATTACATCATGAAATAAAAGTGAAATCGCGTTGTTTCGATATACATAAATGTAACTACGTAAAAATTGAAGTTTCTTTACTTTATACTATTCATAATAATAAGATAATACTTATTTTCTATATTGCTACAAGTCACAACCGGAACCAAAACGCAAATTGAAATGTAAACAGTGAGAATCTACTCTATCACAATTATTTTTAAGTAGCTTTTTGCCTGCAGCTCCGTTGGATAGTATTTTAAAAAGAATCCTTTAGACAACGTCCTATACGTATATCCGAATAGATAGCAACGTAAGGTACTCTACGAAAAGTGAGCTTTTGTGAAAAAAAAAAACGAAATCAGTCCAACACTTTCGGAGCCTTTTCTATGCAAACAAACAAATTTTTAACATTATTCGTATATAATGTGATTATGAGTAGTTACAATTCGACATTTACCTATGTACACAATTTACACTTTTGTTAGCGAACAGTGCAAGTAGCATAAGAATAGTTTTCATGACATAATTACTATAACATTCATAATAATATTAATTTGTTAAAAAATTAACTACGTACTACTTCTGATAATTAACAATTGTAATGGAAAATACACAAGATTGGTTAAGGCAAAGGTAATGCAGTCTTAGGGTCAATCCACAGCGATAAACGACGCAACGCAACGATAAGCAACTAAAACTGTTTGAAATATGTATCTTATTGTGTAAAAAATAGAGTTGTATTTTAAGGAGCTGGAAAAAACTGCGTGAAACGTCGCGTTCGGTGTGAGCTGGCCCTATACTGAATCTTTTTATCAAAGTTAACACATTATTATAGAATAGCCAATCAGACATTATACAGGCTGATACTTTAATGCAGTTATAAAAGTGAAACAATTTCTGAAAGCTTAGACACTAATTCTCAATTAGAACTAAGTACGTTTCTTAAAATAAAAGTTTAAAACCAAATAAACCCTCATACACAGTTACAAAGCCTAAATTTGTTTTTTGCATTTATTTTTCTAACAGAATTACCTACTGAGAGAAAATGTTTGCTGCGGAAAAACCACCATTAAAATTTCACCACATCAGTTGTTTTTCTTAGTTTACTAAGAGTAAACTAAACATATCTGAAGATTGCATGACACTCAATGTATTATGCGCAATGGTAGCTAGAGCGTTTAAACCAAAAAGGTAACAGCAAAAAAACAATCCTAAAGTGTCGTGTATTTTTCTGTTAAGAATATCATAATTTGTATACCTATTGTCTCTGAATACTGAAAAGTCTTTGCTATCCATCACTTATGTTCAACAGTGAAAGTCTTTCAGTTGATATTTCTTCACGCTATGATGAGACCCATTTGTCCACAGAATATCTGCCTAAAATTTCGTTCCATATAACAATAAATGTTAATACAAATGTTTTTTTTTTTCTTGTGTATAATTTTGAATGCGCAAAACACATGCCTAATCAAACAGCCTCAACGCTACTAGCAATTTAAACATACGAGAGATCTAATCCTATACCACTAACATTCATTAAGCAATGTTTAAATTTACGTCCAAAAACCAAACTTTAAAATAGGAACTAAATATAAATTAAGTAATAAAAAGAAATATATTTTCAATCTCAACAGTTTTACTTTTATTTACGTTAAAAGTAAGGAGTAATTAAATAGTTTCAAGACAAAGTAATGCTTAAATCAAGTAAAAATAATGATTTTTCGCCGAAAAACCGAGAGACACCAATCAAAATTGAGATACCAAAATCTTACATAATGGATAGAAGTCAAGGTGAGTAAAACCAGTATAATGTCTCCTTTGATTGTGCGCAATGATCTTAGAAAGCAAGAGCATAGTAAACTGGCAACTAGTATTTCTACAAACATACATCAAAACAAGCATTAGGGTTGATTTTCCACCAGGTAAAATACACTTCTAACAACCGAATGGCATATTTTCATTGGTTTTTGGAATTTAGTGTGAGTTATAAAAAACCATTTAAAAATAACGTTAACGCTGCTTAAACGTTATTGCGTGAAGCCCTCTGATTGGTCGGGTAACTTTGAATTGGCCAATAGGAGCGACGAATGTCATAAGCGTAAAGATAGCTACAATAAGCATGCTGGGCATAGACCTTTGGTGTCTTCAAAAAATAGGGTTCGAAATCTCTTTCATTATCTGCCATTTAAACTGTCATACTCAGAGACCTTTAAAAATAACTTTAAAAAAGAGCATCTAAAAAACAGCAAAATTAAGGCATTTAGAGATCAATTTTGATTGGCTTTCAAGTATTAAGGCGTTATTGTTTTTTTGTATTCATTTTTTGTTTTTTATTAACCTAGAGTTGTACTTGTCACCCTTATGAAGCTGCTTAAAAGATAATGCCTTTATATTAGGACAGGCACTTGGTGCATGTTTTCAAAGCAAATAAATAATAATGATTATGGAATAAATTATATGATTACAATGTCACGATTGTATTACGATAGCTTTAGTAATGTAATAAATACAGGACACGTTTGGCTCATTAGTTATTCATAATTGGAATATTTTTTCCTGTTATATCTATCTCTGTCTCCCACATAGATAATACACATGTGCGACAAGGACAGCCTTACTTTCTTTCTTTCTTTCATATTATATATGAGATTTGTTTTATTACCGTGTAATACCAATTCGTCGTGACAAATCGTACATTACGTATCGTGACTGAAATATTAATAAATAAGAAGTGAAATAAATATTATGTGGTGTAGTTAAAATGTAATAATGCCATTAAGGAAAAAATAAAGCCAAAAAAATGAAACGACCTTATTTAATTTATGGGAACATAAATAAAAAAGGTTGAATATGTTTATTGATAATAATAATTACTTAACACAGCATTCTAACCCGTTTTTCGCTTCCTAATAATAATTTTATATGACTTCAAATCACTAAACTGATGTATATTGTACTATGGTCAATAAAACATTAAAACCGTGTCAATAAAAATATAACCTGTATTATCCATAAAATGTAACATAGATGAACAATGAATTAAAAAATAAATAAGTAAATAAAATTGTATTATATTTTTCACCACTATTGGACCAAGCATTGCACTTATATTCCTACTCCTCCTTAGGAGTCAGATAGTATTATAGCACTGGCCATTTATAAACTAAAATAATGCGCAAAATAAAAATATACGTGAATTGATGGATTTAAATAAGGTAATACCAAGACTAGATAACTTTATTAAAATATATACGTACTTACATACATAACAAAATTAATGAAAAACGAACTACACCACCTAAATTTTAAATGGAATTTATGAAATAAGCTCTTTAAAAGAAACTTTAAACAAAACTAATAATTTAATGGCTCGATATGTTCGAGAAAAAAAAGAACAGTGCATATCACATACTCGCTTCCACTTCCACGCGTTCCACGTTTAAATAAAATTCAACATGGCGCCACTAAACACCGCTACAAGCAACTGAATTTCGCGCCAAACCTTTTTTTTTCATTTCGTTAAACGCAATAAACTGTTTGCTTGATCGCAGTCAGACTCTCCTTGAGTAGATGTACTAAATGATTGATTTACCTAAGTGTTAAGCGTTTTAGTATATAATCTTGCTGGGCGGTGCAGCGGTGTTGGCGCTCATGGCTTGCTCGAGAGTGTCCAAACGACGGTAAGCGTGGCCCCGGCTGTTGCGACGGCGACTGCTCTGTCTACCTTCAAGTATTAAGCCGAAGAACTGGAAAATAAATAAAAAAAAACGTGTGAATAACAATGAAAAGACGTTTTGTCAGTTGTAATGAAACAAATAATTATTAAGTAAACCGTTTGTTGTTTTTGAGCTTGACGTAACTACCATGTTTACCTACTGATAGCATAAAAGTAAGTGGGAGGAAACAGGAGGTCTACTCTCTTTCTTCGAAACGAAACTTTCGGAAACGAACGAAACTCGAACGAAAGAACGTTGGCGACCCTACTCTGTTTTATTTTCGGACACGCATACGAAGTTCGATCCAGAGATAATTTTCGTGAACGAATGTAATTGTGTAGGTTCTTTATAATGTGATTTGTGGTAAATTACGGTTTTTACTTAAAGTTAAAATTACAAATTCTCTGGCTGTTTCTTTGAATTCCACATTATGTATGTGGTTTGTAAAACTATTACTTATAATATGCCACGCAGAAAATAAAACTATATTTATTTTTGACGGAATTGTAATTTATCGTTAATTTATCATCGTTACCTTATAAAACACTCTTTAACAGACATTTATAACCGACTAATTTAAAGAGTACTATTTCATTCCAAGAAAGGGTTGTTATGTATGACGACCAAAAATGGCTGTATTCGGACCGTGCACGACATTTGTGTCAAAAAATTAATGTCAACAGATTGTTTATTTTTATCAACACGAGTTAATAAAATATACTATAAAAGACAATAAATATATGTGGAGAAAGGAGTTTTATTGAATTGTATAAAAAATGGATATTATTATAAAAACAGGTTTTGAGTGTTATAAACACACAATCATTTTCCAACCCCAGACTGTGCTAAAATGTAAAATTGGTGTTAGCAGAACATGTGAGGGATGTGGCAGAACAAAGAATTAATGCGAATAATAATATGGCTGTGCGTTAATATTGATTGTGTAGTGGTGGAAGAAGACTGTGTGACAAAGCGAGTCGAAGCTAAATGTCCAATTATCTACATTTGAAAAGAAAACTGTCGTTGAATTTGATAAAAATGTATGCAATGTTAATTACTTAATATTTTTATAAAATAATGTAATAGAGTTAAAACAAAGCCATTCATATTACACTCATGTTCAGTTACAAATGTATGTTACTGGGATGACAATGTGTGATATTTTTATTTTGAGCAGTATATGGTAAATAATGCTCATTTATGTTAACTTCATATAAGTACTTTGATGTGTTACAGTAACGATATTGGGTTAATGTTATATAAAATGCTAATAAGTTGTTTAAAATGATACTCCTTGTTATATTTGTTCTGTTAGAAAATTGAAATTTATTTTAAAAGGATAATAAGTTTTTAATTTTTGTTTAATAAGTGCAGAACTTTAGGAAATAAAAATCTGTTATTTTTTTAAGTGTGTTTTTATTTACTTGCTCTTTTTTACATATTTGTGCCGCGATCGGTTTCTTTACCCTTTCCACCAACTTCGCACGTTCCGAATAATCGAAGTACATGCAAACTAATCATAACAAGAAATTATTATTAAATTTTTTGTTTGAAAACTTTTCTAAAAGTTAGGCTCTCATAGCTCCTCAAATAATAGGCGGCTGTCCTACAAACTCTAAGTCCGGAATTTGACTTGGGTATATTAAGTAGATTGCGCAGGCAGCGCCGGTTCCTTCTACGTTCTACACGTTCTTCACGTAAAAGAGCTTCGATTTAGAGCATCCTTGTAGCCATTTCAAACAATTTTCATACAAAATCCACACTAAACGAAAATTAAAAGGTAACACTTTTGGTTTCGTCAATTTGAAGTAAAAAATCCGAAAAATCGTCTGTCAAATTCAAAAGTTCGTTCGGAGCTAATATGGATTAGAGTAGGTTCTAAATGTCAAACGTCTTCGTTCGAACGAAATTTCGGAACGAATTGAAACCGTGGTAGGAAACACGCGAAGTTTCGATCGAAAGTTCGTTTTTCGTAGAATAAGAGTAGACCCCCTGATTTGATTTTCTTGGAAAATGTGGTAGGTATTTCGAAATGGTATAATAATCCTTGCAATTAATATCCACTTGGTACCACTAACATAAGGCGGTTTTTACATAACTGTGCTTTTTTGTCGTTGTAAAATGGAGGAAAAAATCCATAGAAAGGTATTGTTTTCACATTTCAAACTGAACATTTAATTCAAGTAGGTATTTGCCCTGTGTATAACCATTATCTACCTGACCAAAATCTTCTTTCATATTCAACTAACGTACAGGTACATGATCTCCATATGAAGTTAGACCAGACAGTTAATTTTAATACACTAGATAAGGATGTGACTCATTATAAACAGCTGAGCCGCGAGAGGTCAGCACCGCGGTGTGCCGCGCACATGAATAAAAATATCCTAGAATTTAATAAAGATGTACTTTTTCAGGTTGCACTGATATTTAAACAGTTTACTATATAAATATTTTCACACTTACCACTTTGCTAACTTTGCTCTTATTATGGTACAGGACGTAGAGCAAGACCATCAGTACAACAGACGTCATGAAGAACGGGAAGAAGTGGTCGTTGTCCTCTTCGGAGAAACCATCAGGCATCGAATTGGGGAAGAAATCTGAAAGACCATATTATAACAAATTATAATAAAGTGATTTGCAAGATGATTCGGTAATCAATCTGGAGACATGTGAAGCCTAATAAAAGTTTATTAATGTTTACAGGGGAGTTGGAGATGCAGAACGCCTCGGCCAGGCTGATATGAAAAATTGCGTCGTCATTTAATACCTCCATTCAACAATAGATACCTACGCGACTCTATAAAGTTGTGGAATAAGTAGTTATAAATAGTAATATGATCTACAATAAAGAAAACAAGTGCAAATCTAAGGACATGTGGTAAGTAACAATAAAATATGCTCAAAGTCAATTCTTTCATATTAGGTATACAACCTACCTAGAATTTCAATCGACTTTCTTATAAAAAGGACAACTTTTTATTAATATTCAATTCAAAGACGCAACGAACTCTATAGACTGGGTTAAAACATACAAATAAATCTATTTGCGCAACTATGTAAGTATGTATATTATTAACACCTGAACAAACATGCACGAACAGACTCGTACATGGAGTGAAAAAATAAACATTACGAGTAGGTACGTACAATGAGCAGAAATAATGGGAAATTTATATAATAAATACTCTTCACATACCTATAAGTAAAGAGTTTTAGAATTTAATAGTTATTATTTCCTATCTTGGTGCCTGTTTGATCCAGATCCGTTCAGTAGTTTTCCATGAAAACTAAATTGCACAATAATAGAAGGTTACTTTGAATAAGAGGCGAATCATACATGGTATGATTTTTTGTATATTATTTTTTGTATACACAAAAAATGCTAAGCAGACTACAATAGATTTATTAGATAGTTGATTCACGGATATAACAATACACTATTTAAAACTTTTAAAAACAAAACCTATTGAAGAATTGTTTAACCTTTACTCATCATCGTCATAATCAACCTGTAGGTGCCCACTGCTGAGCAAAGGACTGAGAAGGTATGAACATTAATTAATCACCACGCTTGCTCAAGGCTTATTGGTGATTCTAAACTTATAATTAGAAAATGTTTCCCCACAATTTTATCCTTCAGCTTTTTTCAGTGGCTTCTATATAAACTTTACTTAACTTTTACTAATAACTACAATCAAAATGTTACTATTGGTTGGGTCATTGACCCTCGTTAGCCGGTAGTACACACTGATTGATTAAATTAAGATTATCATAATTATGCTTTTTTATCCCGATCGTATAAAGGAGGAAATTAACCTGCTCTTTTTATGGCTGCGAGAGCCTGTTTCGGGTCCCAATATTGCATTCCCAGGTTGGTAGTTCTTCCTACTAGGCATAGATTTTTTTTTTATTAATAATAAACTATAGAGAATAGAAGTCGAGTATTGAGCCGTCATTCAACTCGCGTTCTCATACTGACCTATTGTACTAGGGACTATTCAAAACAGGACTCTAACATGACAAAAAATAGTATAATTAGACATGCAAATTATAATTTAAATACAATTCTGTACAAACATGGTAGGCACTGAATAGATTAACATACCTAATATTTTGCAACACAGAGATAAAAAACAGAAACGCGCGGTCGATTGCACAACTAAAAGTAAAAATATTAATTCAAACACGAATATTATGTCGGTAGCATTTCACTGTATAAATATTCAAAAGCTTGATATGTCGTTTTTGTAAATATCAAAGAGATGCAAGTGCAACACTGAAGATAAATATCAGGTTTGTACTAACCTAGATACCTCTACGTCAAGCAGTGTTTTTTTTTTTAATTATTAGTTTTCTAGATATTCTGAACATGTATCCTGAAATCTAAACTGTTTAGGACTTTATGTGTTACTAGCTAGTCTCGCGCGGTTTCACTCGCTGCTCGTTTCCTATACATCGTAGCGTAATGTTTTATAGGAACTATATTGCACAGGCACATTGTAACTACCTATCCGTCAAATAATTTTGGAATTCAACTAGCGATTTCAAAGATTACTCCTTACATACTAACTTACAAATTTTACCTCTTTATAAATGTTAGGTACTATATAATTATTCATGATCAGGGAAAAGTGGCTGGTACAAGTTCTGTTGTGTTTATGATGCACAAACAATGGTGAGTCATTTTAAGGATTACCTATTTATTTAGAGCAAAGGCCAATTGTCTAAACCGAATTCAGGTAGCTCATCAACCCAGATTTAAGGAGACAGATAGTATTGAATAAAGAGAAAAAACTAACCCAGAACAAAATCATCTCATCTAACTAGTTATATATATCCTATTGCACCTACATTCTTGTCTGTAAGTATATGGCATACCATATACATATACCATCAACCTATTTTGTGTCTCGCTTAGATCAACTTTCTGACATACTACTTGTTAAAACTCCAAATCTCTATTATAAAAAACTAATATCTGTTGCATAAAGCTGAGCAAAAAACCTTCACATTTGACCTCAACAATATTTTATACAAGGTTATAAGTTATGAATTTATACAACAATTAGTTGTTATTGCCAGGTATTTTGTTAGTTGATTTTACCTTCACTTTTGTTTTGATTCATCCCAATCCCAATTATTTATAAATACCTCTAATCTGTTCAACGAATTCCAATGCTATCATCATCTACATGCGTTTGAGATGGGCGCTGGCGCCCAAACAGCAATTAGTTGACCAATATTTAAAGTTGAAAATGACTTTTTTTTTTAAATTGGTATGCCTGACATACTGGTGACTAAGATAAAGTAAAAAAAAAAACATTTGATGCACTCAAGTTATTGGTAGCACTCTATGGTCCCAAATACACTTACACAATAAAGCCATTTATAAATTCAATGCCCTTTAAAGACTTGACTAAAAACAAACAGACTCTTTATTCTACATTACAGACGGACAAGCTTGACTTTAAGTGTTACCTTTTTGTGAATTTTCAGCTTCATGAGCAGGCACTAATATCTTGTTTCTGATAAATGTTTGCTGGTTTCCTGTATCTTGTTCTGACTTGATATCCATTCCAGGATCCTCGCCTTCCTCATCACCAACATTGTCATTGCCATCTGAATCTGAAATATTGTGAAACATTTGATAAGAATTTTGTAATGTATCATACATCACATCTGATAGCCAATATAAACAAATTATCTATATAATATAATAACTATAGATTTTGAAATAATGTCAGTATGTAGTGTGGATGGTGTTTAAAATTTGTGTGTCACTAAGCTATCACATGGGCACAAAACTAAGCTATACTTACATAACTTTTTCAGAAGGATTCGTCAATTTCAATTCAGAACAATATCATAACTAATTTGTTAACTAAAGTTCATTTTATAATTTACAACTCATACTTCAATATTAGATAAAACATTTTCACTTATACATATAGGTACATATCAAGAACTACAGCTGAATTAAAAAAGATATGACATACATATAGAAATACATAATAAGAAACTAAAAGAAATATGGTTGATTAGAGAACCTCTATACTGTTTAAATGTAACAAATACAGTTTTAAAGTATTAATAGAATTCTGAACTTCAAGTTGAGCATTATATCATAACATTTTTATCTAATTTTTAGACATTAGTCATAATATTTACTTACTGACACAATTATCAAAAGTAATATATGTAGGCAATCTTATCTTTACAAAAATTAATTAATTTTATATTTTTGATGTTTAATATAAGTAAGTTAAGATTATAATGAAATATTTATGTTTATCTTAAAAAAATATGTAGGTATACTTAATACTTTTTTCATCATGTATGTAGTATGGTAATTTATGTAGTAAGTATGTAGCAATTTGAAATTTTACATCAAAAGTTATAAACTATGAGGCAAAGTTTTCATACACATATGAAATACATAGTAACTAAAATTTCCTAGATTAGTTTTTGAAACCCTATCAAAAAATGGAATTTGGATGCCATCTCAGGAAAATAAAGAAAATAAATGATATACCAAGGAAAATGGCCTTACATTTTTAGTACATTAAGCCTGACTACTTAAGTCATGACCAAACTCAAATTTATAAAACTTGACAAGCCCTGTAACTACAAAACTGATTACATTATTAATGGTATAAGGTATAAGTGCAAATAAATGTGTGTAAACCAATGTGATTCTTTGAACTTATTACCTACTACTAATGTTTTAATTATCTGTGCATGGTCTTATTATTGTTAAGTAAATTAAAATTTGTAAAGGTATGTGATAAATATCAAAGATCAATTAATTGATTATGTCAATTTGAAATTATTATTTTAAATTGATAAAAATCTATGAGGCCTTCACATTTATGAAAAAGAACAAAATTTTAGATGTACATGTAGTTGTTACATATATTAAATTGCTATTTTAAATGGCAATAAAATAAATTCTAATATTATATAATGTTTATAAATAATCATATTATTTACCTATACCAGGTAATTACATAGTACTAAAGGAGAATATAACTGAATATAAACTAACCTGCATAATCATCAGTATCGGGAACAGGTTTTACTTTCGGGTTTTCTAATACAACATCAGGTTTCCTATCGCTGACTGCCAAGTTTTTGCTAGTATCAGGAAGGGATGGATCATTCGCAAGAACAGGTTTCTCTTCACTAACTACAACAGTTTTTGTAGAGCTATTGTTACTAGGAATTACATTCTCTGGTGGAGCTATGACAGGATCCTCCACTTTGTCTACATTAGGATCTGATTCTTCATTCTTAGGTATAATGTCTGCATCTGCGCTGTTCAGAGTCTGCTTAGAAGGATCATTACTAGCCGCTGTCTCAGGCTTTACAACCTCAATATCATTGCCTGCAACTTCAATCTTTTGAGTTGACTTACTAACTGTTGGGTCAGTCTGCTTTATTTGTCCGTTCCATGTTTTCGTGTCCCCTTCCTGGTTAACCGGGTTACTATTGACAGGAGCAGGCATATCAGCCTTGGCACTCATATCTTGCTCTGAAACGGCAGGAGGTGCAACTGCATTGTTGTTAGCATTGTTCACCACTGTAGACTCAACCTGGCTCCGTAGCTGTTCCAAGCCCCATTTGTAATATTTACAATAGTAGTTAGCATCATTCATTGTATCTTCTTCACCACAAACCTCTCCACAAGTAGCAGGGAGCTTGAAGAACTTCTCAGCCGATTCTTTATAATTCATAAACTCTGTTATATTTGTGAAAACCCACTCTTTAGCCAAAGCGCAAACAGCGTTTACATCCTGTCTGTCATTTACCTTGCTTAGAGACTCTTTGTTGATCACTACCTTTTCTGAGCATAACTGCGTATTTATGTCGAGGAATATTAAACATTGAAATTGTTTTTTACTATAAGGCGGCACGATTATATTACAATCTTTTATTTTGTTAGCAATTTGACTGCTCAGAACAGTATTTTCACATTTAGATGCTAGGGTCGCGAGTGAATTTGATAATAACTGGTTTGGAGCAACGGGATTGATCGGGTTTCCCAAGCTCTGATAACACGAATTTATTAACAGAAATGCAAGAAAATGACGAAACATTTTGCTTAACAGTATTTAATTTCTGCACTTATAAGAACTGTATTATTCTTATTATAACACAACACGCTGTCGTCAGAATAGATGAGACAATCAACAACCAACGTCAATAGAAATTGTCAAATTGAAGGAACTGTCAACTGTCACGCCTGTCATCTAAATCCGATAGAGTTGTATACCGTATAGTACTCTAGTTCATAAAATATCGATAAAATAATTTATTTGGCGGATTTAAAAAAAATATATATTTTTAAGGCTATTACTGTCTCCTGGCTTACTAGTCACTTTATTCACTGATCTTATCTGACTCTATAGGTAATAATCAAACTAGTTTAGATAGAGATTAGGGAACAATTTACCCAAGGATACCTTCCTACAACTTACTGCTATAAAAATATTCTACGGTTCTTAATCTTATTCAACATACCATAATTTTGTTAGTCTTATTTATAATTTTGCTTTATAACTACCTATGCATTAATTATTTTTAAGCGTAATTGTTTTCTGTAATTCTCTAACCAAAAAAATGATGAAGCATAATATTCTATAGCATGCATTTATTTGATATTTTAAAACATATACAGTCATATTTCCCGAAAAACGAATTAATATAATAGTATACCATTTTGAATATTTTTGTCAGTATTTTTCACTGTAGGCTGTAAGGCAGGGTTTTTGTCATGACTTCGTCGGTATAGACCTCCGGCGACCCGACGTACGTTTGCGATTTTGAATTACAACTCTAGGGGTAAGACAAACAAGACTACCTACCTATGCATACATTTTAATTATGCATATACCTAGTCATTGGGCCTACTAACGATATGCGATCAAAATGTAGATATGCCAAAACAAATTCGTTTTTAAAATGATTATTATGCTTACATAAAAATACTATCGATATCGATTTGTTACCGACAGGTCATGAATGGGTAGTCCTAAAAGGTGCCGTCCGGTGCCGTCAAACAAACGTCACAATTACCTTTTTGTTTCGGAATAAGAGGAGTTTGATCTTAAAAAAAAGACACTTGATTTTGTAACGATGCAAACGTAAAAACTAACCTCTGGTAAAAATTAACCAGGCTTACATCTTGAGGCGAGGTGACCTAAGCTAGCGCATGGAGCGAAGCAGTATCTAAGCTAATCTGTCAGCCTACCTTTACTCATCTTCTGCACCCTGTATCTATCCTCTTAGTTCCAGTAGGTATCTGTTCAAACATGCGCAAACTAAAGAAAACATCCTAATAACCGCCTCCCTATATGTCCAATAAAGGTCAAACAGTGTTAACTAATTAATCTGCCTACTTAATTCCTCCTTTTTGGTCTATTTTCTTCTTTTTAAAGTCAGGACGCGAATGCGTTTCAATTGCAAGGTTTTTCGTAAATACCAATTGCATGGGAACAATCCATTTAATTATGTAGGTATACATAGGTACTTATAATAGTAGATACTAGATACTATGAAGATATAAATATTATAGTGAGTTATACCTATGTTTCCCAAAAACCATAAAAAAATTGAACAGGTACATAGATATACCTACCTATTACAAATGTATGTTGTCTATGTTATTAATAATTGTTTTAGTATGATATGCTTGCTTTAATATTAGCTACTTATAAGTTTTTCTCTGCATCACGCAAAAGTTTGACTGGTTGAGAATGCTATAATTTTCTATCTATACTTTTTCTTTCTTTATTTATTTCTTTCTATATCTAGGTCCACCTTACGTAGATACCTACAAATTTTTTATGATAGCTGGTTTGTGTAAAGTGTTTCTCCGCAGCTGCTTAGCCTGGCCCTCGTACGCCTTCCTGAAAGACCGCTACCCAGTGGTCCCGTGATTGGTGGACACAAAAGTTATATTTTCATATAGCGTTATAATTTTTATGTTGTTTTAAATAAATCTAAGTTAGAAAAATAATAATTAGTTAGGTAACACTACTACTAATAAACATTAGGTTTTTCGTTTTGTCTGTTTTTTGGAGTTAGGTACATTGTTCTCAACACTAGCATTGGTTATTAATTTGTGTTCTTCAAAAACGCATAAAACGTATACGAACTCCTTAATACCTGAAAACATAATAGTTTTATTACCAAGACAAATACTTATAGGTAGGTATAAGGTTTTGATACCAACAATCACTTAACGATACTACAGCGTCACAAAATAGGTACCGGCGTGTAAGAACACCTACGTTAGGTTTCGCCGTGTGAGTAAGGTAACCTCAATCGGATACCTACCCAGTAATTCCTCCTCCCATCTTATACTCTATTGACCCACTTGAAGTAACAACTTTTGTTTACTACAAATGCGTAGGAGTATCTATCCATTGCTTATCATCAGGTAATCAATCAGTTCAAAAAATTTAATATTTTCTTAATTCTGGATTCTGTCTTGTAATTTCATCAATTTAGACTAGTTTTAGGTAGATTAAGTACCTATAAAAATTCCTCGCGGTATTAAGGTATCGTAGGAATTTTCCTTCACTCACCGAAACAAAAGTGCTGTTAGAAAGCGGTATTAGGTCACCAGCCACGAGGTTTATGGATCGCTTTATTCTTTCCATAAAAATAATAATGGCACGTCTATACTCAGTTGGTATTTCCAGCCAGTCCAAAGCGTATACGGACTCTATGAGTTTTTCACTCTAAAAAAGTATACAAGTAAGTTACTTGACGTAATAAGAAGCTACTTTATGGGTTAAAGTTTCTTTTGAAGAATTGCGATGTCTTCTACAATAACCTTTTAATAAACCAGTAAATGCATCTACTAATTGAAAATTAGGTTGGTAGTTCTTTTGGTTATGATCATGAAAAAAATCCTAGTGTTTTGAAACTCTCATTTCACGGTGTAGTGAAACTCTCTTGCATGATTTCAGAAGATTTTGGTCCATTAATCGCCAATCTCTCGCCAATGCAACGTGAACGTGAAATCAATATCTAATAAACAAATACATAAATAAACGAGCATTAATGCCGAATACGTTCATACCTCATGAGTAACTTCATTCCCATAAAAACAAAATATGAACAATTCCGTAAGGATGCAGCACATGTACATCAACATTGATACAAATTCCACTGACATGGGGTCTATCTGCAAGAAAACATGATAACTTAACGTTGTGCCAGTTGCCTTAAAATAAACTCTAACATTATAACTGAAAGCTTTATTTTCCGTGACGTGAACTTAAAGGTGCTTTTTAAGTTTTTTCCACCTAGTATCTGTTATAGCAACTTCGTATTACAATAAGATACCTATCCAGAAATTAAGAAAAAAAAACCAATTAATCATTGTATGCCTTTCAGTATTTTTTTAAATTTAGCAAAACTTACATTGACCGTCCTGTAAGCAGTAGTGCAGATAATCCAACCGCTCACTAAAAATTGATACAATACAGCTCCGCTAAATACCTCTTGAATTACACCTGAAAATCTAAAATGAACTTATTGCAACACTTTTTTTAAATTTTTCCTTTCAAATCAAATCAAATCAAATCAAAATCATTTATTCCAACTAAACCATAAATAGGTACTTTTGAAACGTCAAAATAGAATAGTAAGTAGTCTGTCAGTCTGTTCGTCAGTGAAGCTAGGTGCTCTTTGAGGATCTTCTTCCTAACAAGATGCCCTATGTAACAAATGCAATTTAATAAGTATGCTAAATTATGTAATTAAAGAAAAACTACTTGTAAGTGTGCCCTTTGTAACAAATCATATCTGTACTAATAATATATTAAGTATAAAGAGGTAACATTTATAAGTTTGTATGTAGGGGGTAATGTTTGGAACCGCTGGTCGGATTGCCAAAATTCTTCCACTGATTGATAGCTACAATGTTCCTGAGTGCTATAGGTAATAAAACATCACGCTACGATTAAAAGGAGCCGAGTAGCGGGTGAAACCGTGCGAGAGTAGCTAGTATTTTATAAAATGTGTGTGGCTAAATGATGTAGGTAACTAAAGTAAAATCTATGTACCTATATACTATGTATTATATAACAGAAAGTCGTGTTAGTTACTCCACTTATAACTCAAGAATGGCTGAACCAATTTAGCTGAAAATCGGCAGGGAGGTAGTTTAGAGCCAGGAGAAGGACATAGGATAGGATAGAGTAGGTTAGGTAGAGTAGGGTAGGTAGAGTAGGGTAGGTAGAGTAGGGTAGGTAGAGTAGGGTAGGTAGAGTAGAGTAGGTAGAGTAGGGTAGGTAGTGTAGGGTACATAGAGTAGGGTAGATAGAGTAGGGTAGGTAATGTACGGTAGGTAGGGTAGGGTAGGTAGGGTAGGTAGGGTAGGTAGGGTAGGTAGGGTAGGTAGGGTAGGTAGGGTAGGTAGGGTAGGTAGGGTAGGTAGGGTAGGTAGAGCAGGTGGAGTAGGGTAGGTAGGGTAGGTAGAGTAGGGTAGATAGAGTAGAGCAGGTAGAGTTGGGTAGGTACTCAAATGACGGGAGCGACGCCGCGGGTAAGAGCTAGTTACTTATAAAAGTGCTACATTACAGTGTAAATCTTCATACCCTTTCAGGAATAACAAGTGCAATATACAAACTATTATAAGTTAAAACTTACTTACCTAATAATTTCATCGTAATGCAACAAAACAATTCGAAATCTTCGCTCCAAGACCACGTTAAAATCTTTCCTTGACATTAATGCTTCCTCCTTACTGTTCTGAACAATGTTTTCTAAATCTAACCTGCAAAGTGAACGCATAAACATTCGCTGTAAACCTTTTATTTGTGACGGTTGCCTATAAACTACATCTAGAAAATCGTTCACCTGAGAATAGAGAGTTGTGTCTTGCACTGAGTGAGAAAAAATGTGATAAAAACATCCATTGTAGTGTTACTGAACGCAAGCCAAGAAGTTTGTACCCACACGTAAAATGCTACAAAGTAGAATCTGTTGAGAAAGAGAATTAAAACGATTAAGGGCTGATTTGTCAGTGGTTACATAAAAGTAATCTGCGGAATAATTATGATTCTGTGGCGTCAATAAAGCAATAATTTTATTCCTCTAATGTCATTTATTTCACTATTGAAAAACCAGCCCTAAATCAAAGTTAATAATGTTAATATGTGTACAATATTAGTATTTTATTTAAGTTTGTTATTCACAATTGTATATCAAATATCAAGTATGTACAACACC